ACGTTACGGTTGAACCACTGATGGCAGATGGACTATTCTGACGATGTCTTTCATACTTTTCTGAACCTTGACAGTGTAATTTACTTGGCAGTCGATCGGACAGTCACAAGCCTCCCGGCTTCATCCAAAATATCTTAAATTGTGTTCCGAAGACAAACTAAGCTTTTACGGGTTTGGAACGACATAGGGGTAAGTGATTAATGACAAAATTTTCATTTTGGGGTGGAGTATCCCTTTAAAAAACCTTGGGAGAAACCAGGTTCAGTTGGGGGGCCAGTTCTCTGGCCAGACGAAACCAGCATGGTATGGTCTAATTCCAGGGTGCAGCACAGGTCAGATTGTGCAGAGGACTCGTCTGGTTCCCGTGGTCTTGTGCCGATGGTCGTCGAGGTGATGAGGTCTTCACAAGGGATCTGTCATTCAGGGCTATAGAAGTCATCTCCATCTGATCTGGATATGGACTGGATCCGTATGGCTTTGTTGACCTCAGAATAAGAATGAAAGAGACTAATATTAGTGTAGATGCCATTCTTCTTACGATGTAGCAAGTACATCGGGTGTTATGGGAAATGTTCCCGGTTCCGGTTGACGTAATTAATGCAGCCTAACAATCCTTTAACGCATTTGAAGGATTTTGTGAAACGTTTGTAATATGTGATGGAATAATAGTTTAAAGGGGTCATCGGATGCTACATGCATTTTTACAAGTTGTTTGAACTGAACTGGCATTGTGTGTACACAACCACCCTATAATGATAAAAATCCACCCAGTGCTTTTTTTTTTTAATCTACTAAAATCTTTACCCCTTTCTTTGACGTCACAAAACAGGCCCCTCCCGCAATTGTTTGATTGACAGTAGTGTTTCAGCACAGACTGGACTGGCATCTTACCTTAGACCCGCCCTGAGTGAGCTGTCATCAGTCCGCCATTGTTTCACCGCTGGAGCAGATGTAGACAAGAATGACTCCTAAGCGATTGAGGTGTTCTGTTGTTGGATGTAATAATGAGCATAGCAGTCGTCATTTACTCCCGACATCTGAGCCGATGAAGACGCAGTGAATTACGTTTGTTTTTGAAGGGAATGCGCCCCTGATCTACCTAAATGCTTCCCTACAAAACGGCTTGCTCTGAAAAGAGCTGTTTTTGACGGTAAAAAAGGTGTTTTTTACGCTACCATTGATAAATTTTAACCAAACTGTGTTACAGACTTTTCATTAAGACCCTAAAGAATCATATCAACATGTGGAAAATGGGCATCCGATGACCCCTTTAATGATGTGATAAATGTGTTTGAATATGTTTGTGGTGTGCAGGTGTGGTCACTGTCAGCGGCTACAGGGAACGTGGAATGAGCTGGCAGATAAATATAACAGTATGGAGGCTCCTCCAGTGTATGTTGTGAAATTCGACTGCACAAAAGACACAAAGTTTTGCTCCAGTGAACATGGGATCCGTGGATACCCAACGTAAGCATTACTTCTCTGTTAGTAGTACTGTACGTAACAAAAAAAGACACATTTTAAGATGCTTCATGCAGAATGACAGTAAAATTATTTAGATGTTGTGTGTGTGTGTGTGTGTGTAAAACATTTTATATGCATGATTTATAATCACCTGACAGTCATGTGCCTAAGGTAAAAATTATATGTGGTTTGATTAATCATTGACTGACTAACTTTGTGTTTGCTTTACAGTCTGAAGTTGTTTAAACCTGATCAGGAGGCTGTGAAGTATCAGGGCCCGAGAGACCTGCAGGCGCTAGAGAGCTGGATGCTGAAAACCCTGCAGGATGAACCGGAAGTAAGATCATAAAACTGCTAAAATATTTGTATGACTAGAAACATATTCTTATACTGGCTTTTAAAAGTGCTTTGTGTAATACATGGACATGGTCAAGGTGTCTAAAATGTCACAATATTACAGCACTTCTTATTTGGTCTTTCCCCATCTCACCTCAGGAACCTCAGACTGAACCCGAGCCACCCAAAGTCCCTGAACCCAAACAGGGCCTGTATGAACTCACAGCCACAAACTTCAAATCACACATCTCTAAAGGTAGTAGCCCACCTCCCATTTTAACAATATTTCAATTTTGATTGACGATTCATTTGTTTTACAAAGTAATGATATAATGTTTTACGTTATGATAATTGTTTTTTAATACCACTATGTTGTATCAGCTTGGGTTGATTGTTTAACTTTATTTAGAAGAAAATTTGCTTTAGTCTTTTTTTTATATTTTATCAAGTTCTCTACAGCTTTGTATAACTGTTAAATTACAAATTCATCATTTTGAAAGTGAAGCATTTAAACAAAAAGTCACTACTTCACTGTCACCCTGCACACATGGACACACAGTTAAGGAAAATGTGAAAATATAACAACATTTTAAAATGATGTTGACTTTTCCATGACTGAAAACATCATGACATTAAATACAATCTTGTAATCAATAGTAAATGTATAATAATAATATTTATTATTATTATGTAGTTGTGGTGCTCCTAAATTTTTGGTGAGTGCTCCTAAATTTTTGCTGGTGCTCCTAACTTTTTGAAGTTGGGAGCACCAGTGCTACCAAGTAAAAAAGTTAATTTCGAGCCCTGATTATTATTATTTAAATAGTTTGTCATTGGATTACATTTTAAGATGTCCGGTAATCACAAATGACTGGTATAGGTACAATGATAATTAATACAAGCATATTAAAACCCTGGCAACTAACCTGTTTATTGAATGTTTATATATATATATATATATATATATATATATACAGATCGTAATATAAATAAG